CGCCCCCGTCCTCTCTCTAATCAATCAATAAAAATTAAAATAAAAAATAAACCTCTGGCTTGCAGAGTTGCTAAAACAGAAAGAGAAGTCCCATCCCTTCCCATTCATTCAACAAATACTTCAAATGCTCCTTCAATAACCACACTGGGGATGGGGGTTTGTTTGTTTGTTTGTTTTGGTTAATCGTCATCTGAGGACATTTTTGCATTGATTTTTTTTTTTTTTTTTACAGAGTGGAAGGGAGGGAAAAAGACAGAAACTAATGTGAGAGACATCAATTGGTTGCCTCTTGCTGAATCCCCGACCAGGGCCCCGGATTGAGCCTGCAACCCAGATATGTGCCCTTGATTGGAATCCAATCTGTTACCCTTCAGTCTGCCTGCAGAAGCACTATCCACTGAACCAAACCAGCATTTTTTTTCTTTTTAAGTCCTCCTTTAAGGATATGTTTTTTTCATTGAGTCTAGAGAGACAGGAAGGGAGAAGGAAAGAGAAAGAAAAACGTCAATCAGTTGCCCAAGCATTCTGACAGGGATGGAACCCACAACTTGTATATGTGCCCTCACCTGGAATCGAACCCATGACCCTTTGGTGCATGGGAGGACGCTCTAACTACTGATCCACACCAACCAGGGCTTGGAGGTACATTTAAAAAAATTTTTTTTTCAGATCTGCCCTGGCCAGGTGGCTCAATTGGTTGGAGTTGCAACCTGTACACCAAAGGATTTCCTGTTGGATTCTAGGTTAGGGCACATACTTAGGTTTAGGTTAGATCCTGCTGGGTCAGCAGGTGCAGAGGCAGCCTACTGCTATTTCTCTGTCACATGGATGTTTCTCTCTCTAAAAATCAATTTTAAAAACATCCTTAAGTGAGAATTAAAATATATATATATATTAAAAATTTTTCAGATCTAAAATTTTACTTGGTTCTTTTTTAAATTTTATTTTTTATTTGCAGTTCACATTCAATATCCTTTCCTATATAATAAAACCCTAATATTCAAATCAACCGAATGGTGGAATAACTGCTCGCTATGAACTGACCACCAAGGGGCAGTCGCTCACCGTAGGAGCTGCCCTTTGGTGGTGAGTGCACTCCCACGGGGGGAGCGCTGCTCAGCCAGATGCCAGGCTCACACTGGCGAGTACAGCGATGATGGCGGGAGCCTCCGCGGCAACACTAAGGACCAGTGAGCTGAGCGGTAGGGAGCAGCAAGCAGGTGGGCGGTAAGGTGCGAGGGGTCCCAGACTGCGAGAGGGCACAGGCCGAGCTGTGGGGACCCCCCCCCCACCTCCAGTGCACGAATTTTGTGCACCAGGCCGCTAGTTTTATATAAATGGACTCACACTATGTGGTCTTTGGTGTCAGGTTTCTCTCACTGAGCATCCTGTCATCAAGTTTCATCCACGTTGTGACCTGCGTCAGAGCTTCACTCCTTTTCGTGGCTGCATCATATTCCACTGTGCGGATGGACCCCCTGCTGTTTATCCAGTCATCAGTTGATGGACATCTGCTTGTTTCACTTTTGACCATTAGGAATAGTGCTGCTGTGGACACTCACATGTGCACAGGACACAGGTTTTCAGTTCTCTCGGGTATTTTCCTTGAACTTTGTCATTCACTCACGCAAGCAAGGTACCTGTAGCACCGGAGCACGGGGCATCGTACCCATCATAAATCAAACAGTAGGGTTGGTCATTCTAGCTTAGAGCCTGTCTAAAAAAAAATTAAAACTAGTAACTTTAAAATCTTCAAATCTTCAAATGAACAATTTAAAAAACTTATGGGGGTATTTTTTTATCTTAAGAATAGTTTATTTTAGCCCTGACCGGTTTGGCTCAGTGGATAGAGCATCAGCCTGAGGACTCAAGGGTCCCCGGTTCGATTCTGGTCAAGGGCATGTACCTTGGTTTCGGGCACATCCCCAGTGGGGGTGTGTGCGGGAGGCAGCTGATCAGTGTATCTCTCTCTCATCGATGTTTCTGACTCTCTATTCCTCTCCCCTCCTCCCTGTAAAAAATCAATAATATATATATATTTTTTAAAAGAATAGTTTATTTTAGAGAAGGAGAGAGAAACATAGATGTGAGAGCAGAACAACGATCGGCTGCTTCCTGCATGCTCCCTACGGAGGATCGAAACTTTTACGACTTCCAGATGTCGTAAAAGTTTCCTCCCACATCCCGCGTGGTTCAGGGTTCAATATCTGGAAGAGGAGCCGCACACAAATGAAATAGAAAAGACAAGAGATAATTTGGAAATATTGGGGGACCAGGCGGGTAAGTCCAACTCAAGAGGAAGGACTTCCACCTGTGCTCAGTCTGCACCGACCTTTTATAGTCTGAGGTAAACAAGGCAGTGGTTACCATAGTTACAGTTCTTGGGCGTTTCACCTGTTTTGATCATGTTTATACTCCCTGCGCTTCCCTCAGCCCATTAGCTTCCCAGGTAAGATCTTGGGAGTGTTATAAGGTCAAGCCTAATTATGCTTAGAGGACTGAGCCCTCTAAGCTGGGACTTGTTTGTGACTTTGCCAGCAGGTCAGTCCGAGGCTCAACCCTATATCAGTTTCCCACATCTCACCCCTTTTTTTATTATTAGCTACTATAATGAAAATAAAACTTAAACATCAAGAACAAAACTCTGGCTATTAAAACTAACAAAACAATGCCAATCCGTAACCCACACTGGGGATCATCCTGCAACCCAGGCATGACCTCCTGGTTCATAGGTCAACAGTCGACCACTGACCACACTGGCTGGGCCCAGCCTTATTCTTGAATCGCCCAGACCTTGCTGAGAGGAGGCGGACCAGGAAGGCCCCTCACAGACCCTGTCCCCACAAGAAACGTGCAGGGATCCATTTGTGTTGGTGCTGGGCCTGCCCACAGGCAGACAGCCTGGGCAGAAAGTCTGTGTCTGGGGAGCCGCTTTCCTGCAGGTTAGAGGAAGGCGAGGAGGTCTCGGTGGGCTGTCGGGCAGGAACGCAGGCCTTGCTCCAAGGGCACCAGGAGCCCTGGGCTGTTTTTAACTAGGACTTGATGGCAGGGGTCTCTGGCAGCAGAAGGGCCTTGGGCTGCTGGTGCGATGAAGTCAAGGGCTCTGAGTGGTACCCCGGAGCCTCAGGAGGTTCCACCTGGTGTTTGCATGGAGGATGCTGCAGGTAGCACCTGAACTAGGTGTGTAGCTGCAGGTGCTGCCGCCGCTCCCATCCCGCCCGGTGGAGTTCAGGGCTGAGTAGGGATGGGAGCCCCAGCTCCTACATGTGGGCGGCACCTCCAGAAAGTTCCACGGAGGTAACAGGTGCATCCAGGGCATACCTGGATCTCTCTCTGCCCAGGTGCATTTGGACAGTGGGCAGGTGCTGTCTAGATGAACCTGGTGTCTCCCTCCCCAGAGCATCTGTTCTCCCCAGCAGATCCTGACAACACATGGCTTGCTTTGCTCCTGTGTTTTTCTGTGCTCTGTCCTAAGTGCTTCTAAAGGAGACAGGGTGAATGCTAAACAGTTTTGGGGACCCACTTACAATAGCAGCATTGAAGGCCAGGCTTGGCCTTGTAATTCCGCCCCAAGCTGTAGCCCAATATATATGTGTTAATCACCACAAAACTGTAACTCATCCAATGAGTCATCTGTCTAATTTTGCACAGATTAATAACCATTCCAGGTAAGTGGCTGCTGCCAAATTAACTGCACCAGAGAATAAAAACCTGTCGTGTAATCGAATAAATCTTTTCCATGTTCTCAAAAATTTCTTGTTATTCTTTGTCGTCTTAAGATTGTATATGAATTGTCTTCATAAACAATAAAATTTTTATTTTTGTAACCATGCCTTCAATTTATGTAAAATTGTATAGAATGCCTTGAAAATGTCATCAGATAGGAGTTACTATTCTCAGAAAGAGGGAGGGTTGTACAAAGTCAATTTTGTTTTTGCTTTGCGTTGGTTCTGGTAGCAATTGTGAAACCAAACTTAAGATTTAAATGGAGAAGCAATAGCCCTGGCCACATGTGTGTGTAAGTTTGTATGTGTGCATCTCTGTGTGTGAATGCATATGTGTGCGTGTATATTATGCACGTGAATGTGTGCATCTGTGGGTGTGCATGTATATGTGTGTAATGTGTGTGCGTGTGTGTGTGTGTGTGTGTGTGTGTGTGTGAAGTGTGCACATGTACTATGCAGATGTGAATGTTCTCCCTTGGTTGGAATTTGCTCCACTCGGATCAGCCCTGCAGCCACACTGTCCCTGAGGATGGTGTTGACACCTCACCCCGTGGCCTCCTCACCTACAGCTGGCCAGCCACCTCAGATGAGGCTGCAGCCACAGCCCAGCCCATGGCAGGTTATTGTGCGCAGGCCAATGAATTCTTCACATCTCTCTCCGGCTAGCGAGTCGGCTCCAGCGTGGAGTGGACAGCCCGGGCAGGCAGTGGGGCGGATTAAACCGCAGTAGGATGGCGCAAAGGCCATCTGTCTAGTAAAATGGAAAGGCTTCCCACCAGTGGCTCCATAGTCAGGTGCACAAGATCCGAAATGCTGGGTGGAGCAAGAAGAGGAACATGGGTAGCCTGGACCTCAGGTCGTTCAGTGGCTGCCCCTCATGTGAGGTACAGCCCTCGGGTTTCAAAATCAAACAAAACAGACGGCGTTCTTTTTTGAGTCTTCCCCGAAACTCCCTTGTACTTGGTGAGCTTTGAGATATCAGTATGTCTGCCGGGATAGGAAGTTTGCAAACTTTTTGAAGTTTTTGTAATTGATTTATTTTAGAGAGAAAGATACAGCAGTTTGTTGTTCCACTCATTTATGCAGTCATTGCTTGATTCTTGTGTGTGCCCTGACCGGGGATTGAACCCCTAACCTTGGTGTGTGGGGATGATGCTGTAACCAACTCAGCTACCTGGCCAGGGCCCAAACTTTAAAATTACACAGATTTCTTTTAAATATTAAGAAAATAGTGAAACATGGCTATACAGACATGGCTGTCCCTTGAAGCACACCATGTCTCGAGACAGTCGATATGCATTGCGTGAGTGCCTGTGGGTGAGTTCCCACACTCCGAGCAGCAGCCCCTCCTGGGACTCAGTTGGCTGTTTTCCAGGTCACTTTCGTCCTGAGGCCTGCACCTGTCTGCCCTCGGCTCCATGCTGCTGCCAGGCAGGCTGCGGCCAGACCGGGGTCCAGAGTTACATTTCTTTCTGAAAAATGTCATCTCCGTCTGCTCGTGATCCTTCTCGTGGCTGTTAGACATTAGCCTGGGCCTACTTATGGAGAATAGATAACTGTTTCTATTCCTCTGTCCAACTTGGAGTCAACATAACATATAGGGTGGGACAAAAGTAAGCTACAGTTCCTATGGAAAATCATACAATATTAAATAATCGTAAGAGCATAAAGTTTTGCATATTCACAACTGGAAACCTACTTTTGCCCCTCCTTGTACTTAGCAAATAAACATGACACATTTACTAAGTGACACAAGCCGTGGTTTAGCTGTACTTGTCAGAGGTGACCTTATGCAGAAAGGCTGCGTGTGAAAGCTAAGTGCCCAGCGACCCTGTTCTGCATTGCTCACCACATGGCTTCTGTTTCCTCCCACAGAAAGTCAATCGGAACCAGTGGAGACAACAGAAGTAGACGGGGACGTCGAGGTCCCACCCAACAAAGCCAGGGTCCTGCAGGGCCATGAGTCCGAGGTCTTCATCTGTGCCTGGAGCCCTGTCAGCGACCTCCTGGCCTCCGGGTAAGGGCGCCCACCTGGGGGTGCTCCAGGGCCAGGGCCCGAGCTGCTGGCTGTGCACTGCAGACCCGCCTCATGGAGCTTGCTCCCTCTCACCTGCCTGGGGCACCTTCCCAGGTGTGCAGACCGAGGCCTGGGCACCCGTGCTGCCCTCCCTGGGGTACCTCCAGTTGTGGTCAAATTGTACAGAAGTCATCGTGCCATTTTTTCCCCCCCAGGGTGGGGACTAATGCCGGCCTTCAAAATTAGTGCAACAAAGATAGTGCGGAGAGAACCCAGTGAGAAAAGAGAAAGCAGTTCGCATGCATGGCTTTGGATTTATGGCAGGCCTGTCCCCCGGGTCTCTCCTGGTGCCCATGCCAGAGCAGACTGGCCTGGAACCATCGCCTGCCTCTGCTCCTCTGCTGCGGGCGCTGAAGCGGGTTGCAAGGTGGGAAAAAGGAGAAAACCCGTGAGCGAGCTGAAAGCTGACTGCAGCGCCTTTCCTTCTGCAGGTCCACAGATTCGACTGCACGGATCTGGGACCTGAACGGAAGCAGCAATGGAGCGTCCACCCAGCTCGTGCTGCGGCACTGTATCCGAGAGAAGGGGCAGGACGTGCCCAGTAACAGAGACGTGACCTCGCTGGACTGGAACGTAAGCACCGAGTGCCTCCCAGACGCGTGCACGTCGGGGCTGCGCGTGGGGCCCAGGGGTGCTGGTGTCTGGGGCCTCCCTTCCCGAGCGCTAGCCAGGTTGTGTCGGGCAGATGGCTGGCTGCGTCCTCAGTGACCACTCGCTCCCAGCACTAGCCCACGTCTTCGAGCAGCCAAGGAAACCAGACTGTCCATCTTGGTATTTCTTTTAAACAATTCTTTTTAATCCTCACCTGAGGATGTTTATTGATTTTAGAGAGGGAGGAAGGGAGAGAGTGGGGGAGAAATATTGATGTGAGAGAGAAACACCGATTGGTTGCTGATGGGGACAACCTGGACATGTGCCCTGACTGGGAATCGAACCCACAGCCTTTTGGTGTAGAAGACGATGCTCCCACCAACTGAGCCACACTGGCCAGGCCTCTGCCTTGGTATTTCAGTTGACAGGTGGGACACAGCTCTTTACACCTTCCCTTGCCGTTCTCTCTGGCCCTTGGAAGTGTTTATGCAAACTCTGTCACAAACTCTGTCCTTTCCTACACGATGTTCAGGGCTCACTAAAGTCTCCAACGTGTCATATCTGTTGGCCTGGTATTTGTTGTTAATCCTCACCTGAGGCTATTTCCCCATCGATTTTTTGGAGAGATTGGAAGGGAAGGAGGGAGAGAAAAACATCGATGTGAGAGAGACACATTCATTGGTTGCCCTCTGAACGCCCCCTGACCGGGGCTGGGCATCAAACCTGCAACCCAGGTACGTGCCCTTGACCGGGAATCGAACCTGAGACCCTTTGGTGCTCAGACCGATGCTCTAACGACCCCTGAGAAACACCAGCCAGGGCTTTTGTATGGTCTTTTTAATTATGTCGTTGGGGTGAATGGTTGCAACAGATTTTACTTGCCCCTCCTCTCCTTGGCTGTAATACCTTACATCAGCGGTTCTCAACCTGTGGGTCGAACGACCCTTTCACAGGGGTCGCCTAAGACCATCCTGCATATCAGATATTTACATTACAATTCATAACAGTAGCAACATTACAGTTATGAAGTAGCAACGAAAATAATCTTATGATTGGGTCACAACATGAGGAACTGTATTTAAAGGGCCAGAAGGTTGAGAATCACTGCCTTACATATTCATTTAAGACAGTGGTTCTCAACCTTCCTAATGCCACGACCCTTTAATACAGTTCCTCATGTTGTGGTGACCCCCAATTTCATTGTTACAAATTGAACATAATTAAAGCATAGTGATTAATCACAAAAACTATGTAATTATATATGTGTTTTCCGATGGTCTGAGGCGACCCCTGTGAAAGGGTTGTTCGACCCCCAAAGGGGTCGCGACTACAGGTTGAGAACCACTGATTTAAGAGGTGTGAGATAAGTAGTTAAATGGGGCTGGTGAGTCTCTTAACTGGGGACTGATTTTTAAAAAAAGATATTTTTATTGACTTCAGAGAGGAAGAGAGAGGGAGAGACAGAAAAATCAATAATGAGAGAGAGTCATTGATCGGCTGCCTCCTGCACGCCCCCTACTGAGGATTGAGTCCGCAACCTGGGCATGCGCCCTGACTGGGAATCAAACCATGATGTCCTGGTTCATAGGTCGACACTCAAACACTGAGCCACACCGGCCGGGCTGGGGACTGATTATTGATGCCAGAATGACCTAGCCCTGGGGTAAGAAGTTCTCTTTGCTTCGTCAGAACTGCCCCTGCTAAGCTGTTTCTTTTTGGCCCACAGAGCGATGGGACGCTGTTAGCAACAGGCTCCTACGATGGTTTTGCAAGAATCTGGATGGAAGATGGTGAGTCCTGCCGCCCTCGGGTTGGGGTCGGGGGAGAGCTGCTTTGGTGTGGAGTCACAGCGTGACCGGGCTGTGGCCTTGAAGTCAGCGTGTTTGCTGTTTGTTTACTTACACACAGGTAATCTGGCCAGAACCTTAGGCCAACGCAGAGGTCCCATCTTTGCCTTGAAATGGAACAAAAAGGGGAATTACATTGTGAGCGCTGGTGTGGACAAAGTGAGTACTCGCTTACAGTGCATCTCTGAACTGTAGATGCTTATTGGTGTTGAGTCTCCAGGTAGCATCGTGGTTTCTGTGAATCCTGAAGCTTTCTGCTTCCCCTTAAGACATCATGGCAGCTTGTATGGTGCTTCTGGGTTTTCCTGGCTGTGACCTTGATGTTCATTTATAGCCCGTCATCTCTTTTATTTAAAATATTTTTTAAAAATATGTTTTTTATTGGTTTAAGAGAGGAAGGGAAAGGGAGAGAGAGAGAGAAACATCAATAATGAAAGAGAATCATCAATTGACTGCCTCCTGCACACCCCCTACTGGGGATTGAGCCTGCAACTCAGGCATGTGCCCTGACCAGGAATCAAATCGTAACCTCCTGGTTCAAGATTGACATTCAACCACTGACCCACACTGGCCAGCTGCCTGTCATGTCTTTGTCACACACTCCACAGACCTTTGTGCAAAACGTCCCCATTCAGTTGAGGTGCACAGTTCAGCGACAGCCTCAAAGCCCAAAATATTGACCATCTGGCCCTTGGCAAAAATAACTTTGCTGAACTCCACACTCGAGTATGACCCTCTAGGTCACTGAATTGTGCATTCTCTCTCTCTCTCTCTCTCTCTCTCTCTCTCTCTCTCTAGCCAGTAAACCCTTTGTTCCAACTTGGCATCCTCATATCCTATATAATAAAAGCCTAATATGCTAAGTGTCCGGTCGGCCGTTCAACCAATCAAAGCGTAATATGCTAATGATATGCTAAGGCTGCCCAACTGCTCGCTATGACATGCACTGACCACCAGAGGGCAGACAGTCACCTGGTCAACTAGCCGCTATGATGGGCACTGACCACCAGGGGGCAGATGCTCCAACCAGTAGGTTAGCTTGCTGCTGGGGTCTGGCCAATCAGGACTGAGTGAGATGGGCCAGACATGCCCTGGAGCCCTCCCACGGTCCCTCCCCGGCTGGCCAATCTGCATCCCTCCCTGGCCCCGATCGTGCACCAGTGGGGAACCTCGGCCTGGCCTGCGCCCTCTCTCAATCCAGGCTGAGGGCCCTTCCCCCCCCCCCCCCCAGAGTGCACGAATTTCATGCACCAGGCCTCTGGTCTAATATAAAAAGCTGAGATGCTGTGGTTGGCACACCACATAGAGTATCTCCGGAAACTACCATCGAATTTTTGCTGAGGGGCCCTAATTCAGATGTTACCCACATACCACTGTGTCTTGTATGAGGCTGGTCATCATCACTGTTGGCCCATTTGGTGCTCCAGGATGGGAGATGGGCACACAGAGCATGGTCCCCAGGCCACAGAGAGCCTGGCGGACTTGCCTAGGGGCAAACTGGTGTGGAGTGGACATAGGTTGGAAGGCAAGCCCTGGGTCCAGCCAGTAGTTACTGCCCTTTCACGGAATTCTAGCCTGTGCTTTGCATCCTCACCTCCTTACCGACTCAGGGCTACTTTTTTTGCATTCATTTCTGATTTTCTACCTGATGGTCAATGAGCTATTTGGTCAGTGAAAGTGCACATTTGAAATTCTGTCAGTCTTTGGGCCATGCACCGTCTGCCTTTATTGGCCAGCCACGGCAGAGATAATAATGTTCAGAAAGAATACCCAAGGAGGAAGTGTAATTTATGAGGATGCTGGCATTGACCTTCAGTGGAAGCTTAACCCGAAGGGGCTATTTCAGATTCTTAACAGTACGTGCTGTTTTAGAAAATAAATTTCTTTTTTGCCCAGGGTATTTTAATGTAGACCTCAATAAAATTACTGACGTAGTGTGCGAAATGGCATCAGATTTGCGAGTTTATGTATTCTCTGCAGCAGCTGATTTGTTTGTGAGTGAAAGTGTTAGGCCAACCAAACAAATGAATAAAAGGTGTTCGCTGGTCTAGAACTGATTCAAAATGTGGAGAGTCAGGTTTCAGAGGCACTCACTGCTCTGAGTATTTCCTCTGAACATTTCTACAATCCACATTACTTATAATTAGTTCTACTTTCAACAAGAGCTTTATTGTCAGTGACAGGGAGGTACACAGGTTCCAATTGAGTGAGTTGATGGAGGCATAATCCCAGTGGTTTCCCTGAGCTGCCTCCGGTGCTTCCCTGTCTTCCCAACATCAGGAGGTTCATAAGGATTCCTGTTTGTTTTCCAGGGAAACGGTCTTTCTCCCCTTATAGGCCAACGTGGCTCTGCTCTTCCTACTATCCCCAGTTCAGGGCGTGGCCGATGCACAGGACAATTTTCAGAAATGCCCATTTCTTCTTCAGCTCCTCATTCGGAAAAGCGCCAGAAAGATACTTAGATAAGCTTTATTATGACTTTTCTTTTCTTTTTCTTTTTTTAATATATTTTTATTGATTTTCTACAGAGAGGAAGGGAGAGGGATAGAGAGCCAGAAACATTGATGAGAGAGAAACATCGATCAGCTGCCTCCTGCACACCCCCCACTGGGGATATGCCCGCAACCAAGGTACATGCCCTTGACCAGAATCGAACCCGGGACCCTTCAGTCCCCAGGCCGATGCTCTATTCACTGAGCCAAACCGGTCAGGGCTTTATTATGAGTTTTCAACTTGTGATGGGAGAGAGGGGATCCCCACCAATTTTTGTAGTTTTCCAATTATCAGTTGTGGCTGCTGTGTTTTATGGAGTTGCCACACACCTGGCTCTCGAGATTGTTACATATAAAACACTGGGCTCCACAGACCTAGGCAAAAAGGACTGCCAAGGATCTCACTAACAGATATATACTGAACACATGCTGAAACAATATTTCAGCAATACTGGAGTGAAATAAAACGTGTTGTTAAAAAGAAGTTTTATGGCCACAGCTACCTTGGTTCATATTCAAGTCACGGCACTAAAAAAGAAAAAAGGAAAGGTAGTTTTAACAGTTTTTTTCTTTTTTTAGAGCATTTTCTAAAAAACAAAGTTCCCTGTGTGGCTCACATTCTGTGTTTACTGGGCAGGGCTGGCATGAAAGGAGGCGGGGCTCACTGCCTCATCTTGTATGATAAATTTTCCGAGAGAAAACTTGGCTGGAGGAACAATCACTAATGTTTCCTTTTTGTTTGCGGAGTACAGACAGCAATAATTTGGGATGCCCACACAGGAGAAGCCAAACAGCAGTTTCTGTTTCATTCTGGTGAGTCTTCTGTTTTTGTTTTGTGATCTATATATATAAAAGGCTAATGTGCTAAGTGTCCTTCCCCATCCGGGTATTGACGTCACATAGCAATGCCTGGCTTCCTCTCCCTACCGACTAGCCTCCTTGCAGTTTCTTCAGCCCAGGTACACGACTTGCTTTATAGCCAGGTGGAAACACTTTACACTGTAAGCAAATATCTATGAAGCGTTTTTCCGTGCCTCATCTCATTTGGTCCTCACAGAAGTCCTGGAGTTGGTAGATAGGAGACCCAGTGGAATCCTATTTTCTTTTCATTAGCGGAAAACGGAGATTTAGAAAGCTTAGAAACTTGACCCGACTGAAAAGAAGTGAGAAATGGTGAACCTTGAAAATGATTTCAGGTTTTCTCACTGCACAGAATGTAGTCAAACACTGCTGCAGTTAAATATTTTACCCTTTGTTCTCCCTGTGTGATCTACAATAATAATGTGCTTCATGTTGATATTTACTGCTGAGTTGCTGACAATAACCTGAAAGAGAAGTTGGGGTGCTTCACTGGGCTGGAAAATGTTTAGCTGCATCAGAAAGCAGGTCTAATTAAGCAAGTTTGTTCTATATCTATAAAAGGCCAAGTTGACTCGTGCATGCGCGATACATATAATGCTCTCACTGGCGCCAATCTCACATGTGTGTTTCCATCTGTCATTGTCGATCGTGAATTTGGTTGATACTTCTATTATAGAGAAAGGGCGAATAGTGATATTAAAATATTTCTTCTAATTAATTTCCTTTCTATGTGCACGAATTCATGCACCGGGCCACTAGTTTGGAAACAATAGCACAGAGTCCCTGTGAAATGTCCCAGAAGGTAATCTTGAATACTCTGAGGAATATGTCCATGGAATTTAGCTGTAATCATGGTGAGCATTGTTCTTAGGCTTATAAGGTACAGATTCCCCAACATCAAAATGTTAAAAACACCACAGGGAACCAATACCTGGACCAGAGTGGCCTCCTTTCTCCTGCCAGCCCAGGGGGGCTGTGTTGGGGGTCCCTGAGACCCCCCAGACCTGGCAAGTCACGGCTCAGGTTTATCACAGTGAAAGGACACGGCGAAATCAGCCACGAGGGAAAAGGTGCACAGGGCGAAATGCAGCACTTGCAGTGGTCTTCTGTGGACCAAGGGCGGGCCCCGTCCCCAGAATCCAGGTGCGACCAGCCACGCAGTAGGGTCACCTCCAGGGAAGCTCCCTGCAGACTCCGTGTGCAGGATGTTCACTGGGGGTTGGTCCTGCGGGCACTGTCTGCCTGCTCATACCCAGATGGCAGACTTCTGGAAGGAAGCTGGCGTAAACTACGTTGTTTGCAGTTTAGGTCCAGAAGCTACTCTCATCAGTTTACGGAATAGTGGGAACCTTCCAGAAATCCAAGTCCCCAGACGTGGGCCAAGAGGGCAGTGTCAGCCCTGAGGTGGGCAGTCTTTCCCATAGAGCCTTGCAGCCACCGCTGTGGCCCTAACCACATCTGTTAGTGTGTTGTGGCCACAGCAGGCTACGTGGGGCAGCCCGGGGTCCAGAGATTCCAGGTTTCCACCTGATCCCTCTTGCTCTGTGGGACTTAATTCTTCCGTGAGGGGCAGCCTCTTAACTTGAAACAAAGATAGCTGCGCACCTCCAGCAGGAGTGGCCTGCCTGAGGACACCAGCGCGAGGGACAGATGCCGCTTCCCGTCATGGGCAATGTCTTCCTTGGAGAGGGACACTGAATGTGTGGGCTGAGTGTGCACCGTTATGTCCTGTGTCCCTGAACGGATGTTGACAAGGGGGCAGAGTGTCTTTCCTGATAGGTAGTTTGGGGTGCCCGGTGATGGCCAAACAGGAGGGCTGAGCCCAAGGACTGCCCCAGACGGCACGGCGCGTCTCGGTGTGTGGCGCGGGCTCCAAGCAGAGGGCGTGGGTCCTGGAGGGGTGGACTAGGAGGGAAGGTCCCAGCAAGGGCGTGTCACCACTGTGTCAGAGCACAGACACACGTCTGCTACTCAGGCCAGAACACCAGCAGCGATGGAGGCAGTCACAGAGTGAGGACACCTGGGATGTCTTGGGTGTCTGTCCTCATAGTTTTCAGTCCACACCACATGCATCTTTTATGGCCGCTGGTGAGTTTTATCGTTGGTGTTGCTTTCATCTCACACCACTGATGGCGTGGCCGGTGCTGAATGTGTTACAGAACGTGTCTCCCCACCAGTAAGTGGGCACCTCTTCAAAGGCAGACAGCTCAGGAGCCCAGCCTACATGTGTGTTGGAATGCATGTAACATGATATTTACCGTTAGGACATAGGATCCATACGTCCTCCCTCTGTTCCCGCCCACAGCCCCCGTTCTCGATGTGGACTGGCAGAACAACACGACCTTTGCCTCCTGTAGCACAGACAAGTGCATTCATGTCTGCAGACTCGGCTGCGACCGCCCCGTCAAAACCTTCCAAGGACACACAGTAAGTGCCAGGCCTGACGACGGGACTCGCGTCCATGGGAATGTGCTGGGAGGTGGGAGCCGTCTCCTTTGTGCCGTCTCCTCGGGTTAAAAGATGCTGTGACGGCTGACTTCCCCTTGAATTTTTAAAGGACAGGGACATTTTGCAGCATTATTTCCTAGACCCTATTAAAATACCGCTGACATTTCTTTAAGCAGTTTTGTCAACTGCTTTTTGAATTTATTTTTTCCTCATTCTCTCTCCTACTCAAATCTGTGATACCATTATGGCTCTCCCCTCACTGTGTTCTTGGGGGTGGGGTTAATAAAAAAGATGCTGTGCCTGCAGACCAGGTCTTTTGCAGCCCTTTGCTGCTTGGGCTGTTGTAGTATCTCAGGTGGTTGGATTAACCCAGGTATGAGCAGGCAGTGGAGAAAACACAGACCCTGAGATGAACCAGATGTTGGATTTTGAAGGAAGTACTTGAAATAGCTATTAGACAAATGTGTGAGGACATAAAGGAAAGGATGCTCGTCATGAATGAATAGATGGGGAATGTCAGCAGAGAAAAGAAAACTATTATTTTTAAAAACAGTGAAATGGAAATCTGACAGCTGAGAGGTACAATGTCTGAAATGAAAATTTAATGTGTGGGTTTAACAGCCGATTGAGGTTGCAGAAATAAGGCTAATGAACCTGAAGAGAAATCATAGAAATAGCCAGTTTTCTTGAATTTGGTGGAAAATGTCGACATTGGATTTTAGAGAGAGTGAAGGGAGGGAGAGAGCCGAAGAGAGAGAGAAACATTGACGTGAGAGAGACACATCCATTGGTTGCCTCCTGCATGCACCTCAACCAGGACTGGGAATCAACCTGCAACCCAGGTATGTGCCCTGACTGGGAATCGAACCCAACACCCTTCGGTGCACAAGCTGGTGCTATAACCACTAGGAAACACTGGCCTGGCCAGGGTGAAAGTGCTTTTCAACGTCAGTCTCAAAACAACTGGTCGTATTGGTTTTCTGTGCTGTGCTTATTGGCTGTAAGTGCAGTTGTGATTTTTTCTTAGCGTTGTGGGTGTGGGTGACGGCTTTGCATGGTAAGTGGCCTTGCTTTTCACATAAATGAAAGGCAGAGTGAGAAACAGAGGGAAATGTGTGGGTCCCGGACTGGCCTTCTGTAGCCAGGGTAACGGGTACCTGAACAGTCTGCAGAGATGATAGAGCGCGCCCTCCCCCCCGCCACCCCGGACGGCTGTGGTACCTACTCACAGGCCTTTATTTCTTTGTAAAATCCTTTGCTCTCTTTCAGAATGAGGTTAATGCCATCAAGTGGAATCCCTCTAGAATGTTGTTGGCGTCCTGCTCGGATGACAGTACATTAAAGGTAACGTGGAAGGATGGGCTGTTTGATCCCAGGCAGCCCCTCAACTTAGTGCGGGTCTTATGGTCACGGCTGCTCTGGGTGATGATTTTGTAAGGAACACTCTTCCTGCTGCTGTAAGTTTTCCCCATTGCTCCTGCTGCTGCTGGTGCCCCCAGGATTCCCCCACCCCTCTGTCTGGGCAGCGACCCCCATCAGTGAGCTTCCCCAGGGCCCCAAACCTGAGGAACGCTCACAGAGTGACGGTGCTGAGCCGTTCCTGGCTGGAGAAAGAGCACCTGCTCACATTCTGCCCAATGTGTTCTCTAGATCTGGAGCATGAAGCAGGACACATGCGTCCATGACCTGCAGGCTCACAGCAAAGAGGTCTATACCATAAAGTGGAGTCCGACCGGGCCCGCCACCAGCAACCCGAACGCCAACATCATGCTCGCAAGGTAAGGGGGACGGCCACAACCCAGTCCCACGCGGCTCCCAAAAGCAGCCTTGCTCCCCGTGGCTGTAACAGTTATTGTATCGGAGGGAACGGAAAAGTTATTTTGTAAAAGTTGTGGCCAGTAGATGTTACTTGAACCCGCAGGGAATAGGAATGTGGCCAGTAAACGTTATTTGCTAAAGTGTGTTGTGAGTGCGTTCACGTCCTTCCAAACTGTACAAAGAGTAGCTCCCCTGGACAGGGCCCATGAAACAGCACTGTGCAGTGACGCCCGAGTAACGGTGCGGATCCCTGTCCACCGGGCTGGTGGGAGGGTGGGTTACGCGTCCAGGCTTCCAGCATGTGGCTTTGGGAAGGTTTTCGTTATGACAGACAAAGGAAGCAGAGTACACCGCGACCTTGGTTTACTCGGTCCAACTCGGAGCTGCAGGTGGCGTGAATTCTGAGTGGCAGTAAAGAGCTCCCCCACCCTAGCCAGGGCTGACCGAGCCATATATATAGTGCACCTCCCCTCCCACACCCCCCCTCCCCCAAGCAGCAGATTCTTCCCAGAATTGGGGAGAGGTGATGTGGCCGCAGCGGGCAGCCCAGAACCACATCACTTCAGGCTGCGTTACACAGAACTGTCTCGGCCCAGTGTTCACGGGACTCCATCCAGGTCCTGTGTTTAATAAGAACGCCTAGAATAGGGGTCCTCAAACTTTTTAAACAGGGGGCCAGTTCACTGTCCCTCAGACCGTTGGAGGGCCGGACTATAGTTTAAAAAAACTATGAACAAATTCCTATGCACACTGCACATATCTTATTTTGAAGTAAAAAACAAAATGGGAACAAATACAGTATTTGTATTTGCATGTGGCCCGCAGGCCGTAGTGTGAGGACCCCTGGCTGAGAAAAAGAAGCCGAAGAGATTCTGCGGCAGGATATGCCGGCCTCCTTCAGGGTCGGGATCCAGGGTGCACACAGCACGGGGGTGTGTCCCACTGGAGAGGACAACGTTGGGGAGGAACATCCGGGTCCCAGGAAGCAGTGGCGGGCTGCTTCTGCTGCTGCAGAGCAGGGGTGGTCGGGGACAGGTGGCAGGTGGCACAGCCCTGTGGATACGGAGGGACTCTCCATCTCTGCCGCATTGCACAGACCAGTCAGTCTCACAGCAGCAAGGATCCTTGTTGCTGGAAGTGCTCTACCCAAGGCCGCTTCTTAGAAAACAGGGAAGGAAGGAATTCCTGCATCAGCTGAGAGGCTCACTGTCCTTTCAGTCAAGTATGAAGGGGACAAGCAGTGCCGGCGAGTCCCCGTTCAGAGAGAGAGAGAACACCAAATAGCAGCTCTTTTTTTTTTTTTTTTTAAATATATTTTATTGATTTTTTACAGAGAGGAAGGGAGAGAGACAGAGAGCCAGAAACATCGATGAGAGAGAAACATCGATCAGCTGCCTCCTGCACATCTCCCACGGGGATGTGCCCACAACCCAGGTACATGCCCTTGACCGGAATCGAACCTGGGACCCTTCAGTCCGCAGGCCGACGCTCTATCTACTGAGCCAAACCGGCCTCGGCCAAATAGCAGCTCTTGTATGTGTTCTTTAACTCTCATTGCAGTAAAACTTGTGTTCCCTTAATTTGCCACTTTTCCAAATATTTTGGTTGATAACCATAAGTGTTTTGTTGTGTTTTTGTTTTTTCATTTTTTAAAATTGACTTCAGAGAGGAAGGTAGAGGGAGAGATAGAAACATCAATGATGAGAGAGTACCACTGATTGGCTGCCTTTTGCATGCCAATCACTGGGCATCGAGCCCATAACCCAGGCATGTGCCCTGGTTCATAGGTTGATGCCCAGCCACTGAGCCACACCAGCTGAGCTAAATGTTGTGTTTTAAATTTACTACATTTAAGGAAATGTAGTAAGTATTCTATAGATATATTTATCGTCTGTGTCTATAGGAAATGCAGAAACAAATGAACATGAAATCAACATTTTCCCAATAACCATCCAAAAAAAGAAGAAAGGAATTGTTTTTATAACAATGGCTTTGTTGTGATGTATCTTAGTCATACTTTAGCCGTGATGAAGTGTACCTGTTATTGTTTCTGGAAATGTAAAAGCTGTGAAAGGAAAACCAAACATAATACATGTACGTATTAGAGAAATAGAAGAAAGCTCCCCGTGTCTATGGTGATGTTTCCTCCCTTTTCCTAGCGCTTCGTTCGATTCCACCGTCCGGCTGTGGGACGTGGAGCGCGGCGTGTGCATCCACACTCTCACCAAACACCAGGAACCTGTCTACAGTGTCGCTTTCAGCCCCGACGGCAAGTACCTGGCCAGCGGCTCCTTTGACAAGTGTGTGCACATCTGGAATACTCAGGTAATCCCCGATTCCTTTCTCCGAGTAACACCCAAGTCAAGTTTCAGTGACCCAGGCTCAAAACCGTCGCTGGGGAGTTTGTGCTGAGTCGCTTCTAAGTCCCTGGCATGATACCCTCTGCCTGCCTCATCCTTTTCTGGGGTACCAGCCGTCATCTCAGACAACCATAACCCAGTCCTCTTGTCTCCAGAGATGCTGTCCTCGAGGGACTAAGGTTGGGGCGACAGGTGTCATTCCATTTGCACTTTCCGGGGCCCAGCTAAGGGGGCGGGGCCAGCCACTCCACATCAAGTAGCACATGGGAGGGTACAAAGGAGTATCTGTTTGCTTTGTTGTGCCGTTTTGATTTTTCTAATGAAACTAGTTTATGTTTCTGTGGGAAAGGGTATGTCGGTATTGGGTTGTGCTATTGGCAGAACTAAAAGGAGACAGCATTTGAGTAAATGTAGCCGTGGGTATCTCTGGCTGCACCGGAGGATGACAGATTCTGAATATAAAGTGTGGAAGTGGGTGGAAGATAGAGCAGGGGGTGTTATGTTGGGGAGTCACCTCTCGGTTCTCTAGCTGATGGAAGAGATATGGTCGGAGCCATTGCAAACAGCCAGTGATCCAGTTTGTGTGACCTCAGGGTGGATGTAATGGCCTCCCCTCTCCCCTTCTAATCCAGTCTGCCTTCTGGCTTCCCTGTGGCTGGGTTGAAATTGAGGTGCATTTTAATTGAGTCCATGCCCCCTTGTGGGAAGGGTTGGTAGTACATGAAGCAAGTGAACTGGCATGGGGTCCACTGAGACCTCAGGCTTTCAGAATCTGCCTCCGATGGGCTGCATCCTTGTAGAGAGGGAGAGTGAGGGTGGGCCCCATGCGGAACCAGCCTGCCGCCAAGCCTCACAGCCCAGAGAGGCCAGGTGGAAAACGTGCATCCAGCAATGCTGTGCGGGAGTCCCTCTTCATAGAAGCAGTGACGGGTAGATGTGTAAAGTGACATCCTAAAAAATGGCATTAGGTATTGCCCACGGCCAAAGGCTCACCAAATTATGTCCCTCCTGTTTTATAAATCACAAACCTCTTTGATCCTCAGTGAGAGGATGCCCTCTCTAAGTACAAGTATGTATATAATACTAGAGGCCCGGCGCACAGGGTCCCTCAGCCTGGCCTGCGGGGATCAGGCCGAAACCTGCAGTCCAACATCCCCCAAGGGGTCCTGGAGTGGGAGAGGTCCCTCGCTGGGCAGCTCCTGTGTTGAGCTCTGCCCCCTGGTGGTCAGTGTGTGTCATAGCTACCGGTGGTGGCTATAGGTAGATTGCGGCCTTGCTCCCCCTAGTTCCCACCCCCTTAGCTCCTGACCGCTGCTTTGCTTTGCAGAGTGGGAGGCTCGCCCACAGCTACCGAGGCACTGGCAGCATCTTCGAGGTCTGCTGGAACGCCCGAGGGGACAAAGTGGGCGCCAGCGCGTCCGACGGCTCTGTAAGCAGCACCAGGGTTTGCTGGGGGTCAGAGGGTGTGGGGCCGAAAGGGGAAACCCCAGGCAGCTGATCCCCAGGGCAGAGGCTGAGAACCTTGCTCCTGCCTCAGCCCCACATTTGTGCCCCCAGCCTGACCCTCTGCTGGTAAAGGTATGACCTGCCTTCCACAGGTCTCCTGGGTCCCGGGGCCCTGTGATTCTGTGAGGCGGGGGTGGTGGGAGCGCTGGCCGAGTGTCCTGTAGCCCCCACGTGTTCCCAGAGGCCATGAGCACAGGCTTGAGTTGTCATTGGCCCTGCCTCTAGGCATCTGGGCTGTGACACCTGCCGATGGCCACTGCCTCTGCGTTATTTCCTGGTTGGTCAGAGGCTCGGCCCCTCAGGTATAGCATAGCTTCTCTGAATGTTCCGGACTGTGTGCCAATAAAACTTTATTTATAAAGCATAGTGGGAGGGCCTGATTTGGTTCATGGGCCATGTAATTTGCCAACCTGGGTTCTGTGTGTTGTTTGAAGGTAACGGGGGCTCTCTGTTTCCTTGCAGGTGTGTGTTTTAGACCTGCGAAAGTAAACGGAATGTTGCAGGAAAGAGAAGAGAATTCTAACCCACCAGCAGTTCGTGTGGGGTGGGGTGGGGTGGGGGGGCATCCTGTGGGCTCCAGGCTGCACGGGCGTGGCGTGTGGGCGTGGACTTTGAAGTCAGCTCCTCCTGGGCCCTGGGCGCCTATATCTTTCCTAGTTCTTGTCAGAAAGTTTCAAACACACACAATTGTATCAGAGGTGGGAGGGTGGTTTCCACAGGGACATCTGCTTGGAAAGTGTGACGCCTCCAGCGGGATGGTCCCAGTTTGGTTCCCACCCAGACAGGCTCTGAGGGCTGAGACTGGAGGGGAAAAAGCTGTGGCAAAAGAGAAGAAAAGCGGAAAAGGCTGCGATAACCGAACGGGGTGGAAGAGCTCTGCCCGCGGGCTGCGTGTCGCCCTAACAATTCGGCCACTGCCGTCGCCCTCGCCACAGATGGTCAAAGCCCAGCCTGTGCCTGGAAATGCGGGGCTTGTGATCCCAGCGCCCCCGTTTCACACAACCTTCTTTGTCAGGTGGCTTTTCTGTTGGAACCCTGTTGACTGGGCCTTCCGTCCACGATGGGGCCTGTTCCCCTTCCTCATTGCCTGTCTTGATTTTAGCGTGTCTTGATTTGCTGTTGATGCGGCCTTGGGGACACCATGACAAAATCTTTGCCGGACGACTTTCTCACCCCTCCCCTCTCCCCCTCTCCTTCTCCCTCTCCCTCCCCTGCTCCCCTTTATCATACTTGTTTCAGATCTTAGGTCTTGAGGGCACTTTCGGCTTAAAATAACTGCTTTATGTAGGAAGGCAGGGCAGGGTGACTTTTTACAGGAGGAAAGAAAAATGACTTAAAGAGAGCCCGGAGTATTTTTGGGGGGAAAATATTTTTATGTTAAAGCAATTTTAAAATCCTAAAATAGCCATCAGACAGCTTTGTGTGGTTTGATATTTTAAAATATTCTAGGGAGCTGTTCCCTTTGCGGGCGGGGGTGGGAGGGGGCAGACCCGTGGACCAGCGGGATTTCCTTGGCGGAGGGAGAAGTCCGGCTCTTGGCTGGGGGACAATGTGGGATCTCCCCGGGAGCCCCCTCTGTAGCCCTGGGAGGGAACTGAAGAGGGTGCACTGTGCCCCCAGGAGCCTGTCCCAAACCAGCCGGTACTGAGGAAGCCATAGAAGCAGACTGCTCAGCTGTGTGGCCTGTTGGTGGCACCTCCTCCGTCGGCCACTGCCCCCGAGCTGCTGGGCGGGCCTGGCACGGCTGACCCCTGGCGGGCAGGGACAGAAGTGAACGGGAAGGAAGGCCCTTGCACCCGCAAGGTGGACTGAGGGTAGAGTGTCACCCATCACCTCCGCTGTCTCCATCTCTTCTTTCTGTGCCAAGAGACTAGATTTTCTTTTTTTAATAATGAACCTTTTCACTGTTTTTAAATTAAACAGGAGTTTGTGTTTCTACGGGAATATCCTTTCATTGGATGAGGTGGCCTTTGCACTGTCAGCGCGGACGCTGACCTGGTTTTGAAAGTAGCAGTGGGAAAAGGGCCCTCACTCTCCCAGGGGCAGAGAGGAGAGCAGCAGGGGCAGAGCAGGGATGGGAAGGCGGCCTGGCGGGCGGGGTGCCCTGGGCATGTTCAGCGGCTGCATCCCAGCTACCAGATGGGATGCTATTCAGGGGCGGCGTCTGAGAGGCCTGGACTGAGCTGGATCTGGGACATCACCAGGCTCCATGGATCCGTGACTTCCTTGAGTCTGAGCCAGAGAAGGCCCCGAAGTGCTTTTCCGAGTTGGGTGTTTAATTCGGGCTGTTGCCAAGCTCGAAGTCTGGGAAGTCACCGCTCTCATCTTTGAAGGCAGCCGACACCCGGACACAGTTGAGCATTTCCGCCCTGAGAATCATTAGGTTTGGGGCGCAGTGTGCGGAGGTGCACACACCGCCTGACCCCTCCCCCGACAGGAACCTGAGCTTTTCCGCAGAGCATCGCTGCCCAGGGCCGCCGGGAACACTGGTCCCTGGAAGGTCGGCCCGTGCCCGGCACTGTTTGCCTCCTCACAACTCTTCATGTCTCGCCACCCGTTAGTGACCAGACGTGGCCTTGGTCTGAGCAGGCGGCCCAGGCCGAGGCTCCCTGGTTTGCAGGGGCCACGGCGGGCCCGGCCCCGGGAGGCGAGCTCCGTGCACGCAGCCCGGGACTGGGTTCCTTCTGTCCGGGCGGAGGTGCACTTTGTCCCA